AATTCAATAACAATAATATCTTTGATATTGTCATTATAATTTATTTAAAATAAAGTTAAATTAAATGCTGAAAATTTAAAACTATCTTAGACAATTTTATAGAATCAAATAGACTTATCAAAAAAAAACTTTATAGTTATAACATTAGTCTTAATTAATAAGTTATAAATTATATTTCAAAGTTAAAAATTAAAGGATTCTTTGATAATTAAAAAGATATCCTTTTTATTAAATCAATTTTACAGACTTGTGGGTCTATAGCACAGTGGTTAGTGCTCCACAGATCAGATCACAAGATGTCAGTTCAACTCCCAGTGAAGGTAGCTAAATAGAATTAATATGGTATCTGGCACCATAACCTGTAATGTGCTGTTTCCTATAAAAAGCTATTTTACATGCTGATCCAGTGGGTGTTGAAATTGTGATCTTTAAAAGGTGTAGTGGTATGACGGTCATCCGGTAGATGCATAATGATCACCAAGATTATTAACACGAAGTACTAAGCCTCTCAGGGATCATCGATAAATATTAATGTGTAATGTCAGTGAACCTCCAGTGCTATCCCTGTATAGAAGTTGCACCCTGCTTGGTGAGTAACCCCTAGATTTGGCAGTTAATGCCAATCAAGAACCTGATGGATAAGTCTACTAGAAGATTCAGGAGTCATATCCCTATTGGTAAATAACCCCTAGGTTTGGTAGTGTGTGCCAACCATTGGACGAAATTTTTGAAGCATTGACTAGACAATGCATAGATGCACTAAGATTCATTTGCAGCTGCATGAACCAAAGGCGTGATTAAGAGGTGGTAAGGTATAGAAGGTTAGTATAAGTTCTAGTAAAGGTTAAATGCCAGAATCTAGATTAGGTTAGGTGGTTTAAAACTAGTGGTAGGATTTCCACCTCCTAAAGATCCAACTTGGAATGCGGACCTACCTTCTGGGTATAAGTTGGTATATTCAGGTAAGGCTAAGGTGAAGGGAGCGAATTAACTTAGATAGACCATTGTAGTCATGTAATTGGTATAAAATACTCAATAAACATGTGCTATTAGTATCTTTTATCCCCCCCAAAAAAATTAAATCAATTTTACAAAATAATAAATAATATAAAAGAAATATTTATTAATCAAAGTTATATAATTTAATAATTAAATTATTACTAAATTTGATTAAATTTAATAATAAAAATATTAATAAATTATTATTATTTTTTTATATATATATGTAGCCAAGCTAGATTGTTAATTTATTAATCAATTAAAAACACAAGTATATTTTCATTTGAGTAGCATGATACATACTATAGCTAAACTTTTATCATAATCTAACTAACTCATCATAAGCATAATAGCCTCTAAGTTCGATCTTGAGGACAATATTTCACTCTATAGTGTCTTTAAATAAAGACCCTCCTAGTCCACTGCATCATTGTCAGCAGATTGTTACTGCTGTATGTCTAACCAAGCCACTGGAATACAGGAAACTACAAAAGGATAGATTGAAAAAAGGGAAGGGTGAATATCTAAAAATGTCTAAGCAGACTACAAGAAAATGAAAAGGTAAAAATTGAAAAAAAATTATCACCAGCTTCCTTCAAAAACCTGCTTCTCAAGACCTTTTCTCAATAAGAAATACCTGATTGGGATATCCTTTCTTTTCCTAACCGTCTGAAGAATTTATATATTCTTGATCTTGATTTCCTTCTTGTATACCATCTAAGGAGATTTATTGTCTAGTGGGAGCCTTTATTTCCAGAACATACTTGATCCCAACCTTTTTTGGATAGTAATTTTTTATCCACCTATAGTAGAGGGACAACTTATGATGGACTCCAGGTTCTTATATGACCTAGTAAGAACTAGGCCATGTTGTTTCAGTATGATACCTTCCAGCAGCTACATCTAATTAAAGGAATTTTACTGATGTACATCTTCTATTACCCAAAAGGCCAGATTCCCCAATAATCCTTTTGCCTTGTAATGGTGAGAGGTTCACAAAAGTGGTAGAAATCCTTGTTGATTGTGGTATTTTTCAACAACTTCTGGGGAAATGCATTCTCAACTGTAATCAAAGGGTTGGAACTTAGTATGGACTAGAAACCGTTCAATCTTATTGCTTGACTGGGATAAGAGGGAGACCTTGATCTTGAACTTTACCTGATCGAAATGATAGAAAAGAAAAACCTCAGCTTGAACAAATAGTAGCTTTTTCACTATTTGGGAACTAGCTGCTCGTATTTTATTGATCTCATGATACTTGATCTGTAGATTAATCCAATTGAAAGAGTGGGGTGAACACAGGGCACCAATCAACTCTTTCTATCACCAATGATGTTATCGGAACACATGAGGTGACCAGTAGGTACTTGTTTACATTCAACTACTAATATGTTTTGTGTCCATCAATCATATTTTGCAGTAGATTGTGTCACCTAAAATTCAGGGTCAAACTGAGCTAGGCAAAATTCCCCAGAAAACTAAAAAAAAATTTTGGGTGACTATAAGAGAGAAGAAATAGTAAGCAGACACTTTAAATTTTATTAATAATAATTGTTTTATTTTAATATTAATTAAAACAATAAATATTTAAATCAAACATATTAAACTATTATAAATTGATTATAGATTAGTTAAAAAAAAATATTATAAATTCTAAAAATATAATTTAATAAATAATATAAATGAAGAATTTAATAATTGTTTTAGAAAAAAAGAAATTTTAATAGAATACTTTTTATTAAAAATTTTTTTTAAAAAATAAATCTTAGATTGTTTATTTTTATTTTTTTTTATATACTTATATACTTTTTTTTCCAATTCATTCAATAACTTGATAAAACATACAACCTATCAATTGTAATATTTTGACCTTTATCTAAAATCCAGTAAGGAGTAAAATATTATTTTCAAGATCAAACTCAAAGACTTTAATGAGTTAATTAAATATAGTTAATGTATAACTACAGTATATATTACTTGAATGAATATACTGTATATTTATGGCTACAGGTAATACGAAATGATAATAATATAATAACTTTAATTATTTGTTTTTCGTTTGTAATTAAATTTTTATAAAATTTTATTTTATGTTATTATTGTAAGAATTCAACGCTTTATTGAAAAGATCTACATGAGCTTTATTGGCAAGTTTGCTAATAAAGGTATAATGCCGTGATAATGCACAACATATTTATAGAAACACTTGAAACATTCTAGTACAAATAAAAGAAAACCGCAAATGATGAACAGTTGTAAACCCTCTTTTACTTATTTTAAAAAAGAAACATGGCGAGAATTGAGAAATCTAAAAAAAAAAAAGAATCGTTACACGGTTTCTCCTAGAGAGGAATACATATCTCGAATAAATCTTTTTAAATTATAGGCATTTCTTTAAATGGAAAATCGCATGCTTGTAAATTCTAGGCACACCCAAAACCATATCCCAAATGCTCTATTGGTACAGTGTGATCTTTAATTCGTCGTATATTAATATTACATTGCTTTCCCCACCGCAAAGTCTTGTCATTACCTCAATCTTCTGTCGCGTGAAGTTATATATTTTAATATTATTCTTTACTAAGCGGTTACTTTCCCTTCGTGTCCGGGTTTAAGATTACGATTGTTGTTCTTTTTCGGGTGGAATTCACCGCGATTACGATGATGCTGGTACAAACCGCCAAGAATGAAGAGGACAACCAACCCTGCGAGCATAAGGTAAACCTTGGTGGTCGCGTTGTAAATAACTTTGTGATTCCCATCCAAGAAGGAACTAACGGAATCGGAAAATCCAGTTTGCGCGAACATGTCGATTCCAAGAATGATGGCATAGGCGCCAATAAAGGCAGTGCCGAAAATGACGACATCGTCCTTGAAAAAGTGAATGAGAATGATGCCTATGGCGGTTAACGCTATAATAAAGATGATTTGACCAGTTTTTGATTGGATGACTCCGTTATTTGCCCAAGATAGGATAAACAGTGCAAGCGCATAACCGAAAAGTGCGCCGAGCAGATAGATCGCAAAGTCTGCCAAGCATATGAACGTCAGGCCGACAAGAAATCCTACTACCAAGGAAACGATCAAAATGATGGTGGCGCTATTTTCTCCCGCATAACCTGAGGCCGGTTCATTATTGGCGAGAATAACCCACGCTATGATGCCTATTATTCAGACATAAAATAATAATAATAATAATAAAGAAGGAAGCAAAGTAGTTATCAGAATAAACGGTAGTGCCACTTATGACAATGAAAGATGAATTTTGAAATGCACGAGTTACATACTGCCAATATAAAATCCTAGTAAAAATAAGGTGAGATGATATATCTTCCTTCCGAAGAAGCAATAAATAACACCAGTGATGATTAGGATAATCCCCACGACAATACTGTGAGAATCGATTCCATTATCATCTGCACTAGCGAATGATGCAAAAAGTGCAATCAAGCATATCAGAACTCTAAAGACCGTACTACTCCGGTCGAACAAACTCTCTGATTTATACATTTTTTCTTTTCTTTTTTCTTTTTCTTCCTTGAGATCACACCGAACAAAAAGAGTTTGTACCAGAATATTGTTATCAGTTGAAAAATGAGGTTGCGGCTTCTTTATATATTTCTGAAGGTTAATGATAAGCCACGATATTTCTTGTTTCAATAGTGAATAAAATCATGATACTAGTTAGATTTCTAGTTTCCGCTGATCTCGGCTCAAAATTACTGTACGCTGTACTTTTTATCAACATGGGAAAAAACAGAGTATATTGATTATGTACCGATCGTATGCCGATCTCGGTAAACTATGCGCCATATGCCACCTACATACTACATATAATTTTGCCAAGTGGATTGCCCAGAAAAAATGGCGTTGGAAAGATTCGGTTGCTAATTATAAGTTTGGCGTTATAATGAAGATATTTTTATTTTTCTTCTAAATAACATATTTCTAAAAATAAATATATCATGTGATTTGGTCGTCATAGAGGCAATTTCGACGAGCTAACGATTAAGATAATCGTTTTCATTTCGAGAATTCACCGGGAATCCATACGAAGAAGAATCGAACATAACTTCACCATTCATAAACGGGACAGGCGTTAATCGTGATTTTTTCATGCTTCGAAGTACATTTTCCACTATTTTCAAGATCAAATGCCAAACAATGTTTCGTGCAGAATAGCTTCGACCCTATGACGACACCCTTTAAGGACCAAATAATTTCAGTTATCATAAAAAAAGAGAAAAGTTGAGGGTGGATCGAGACAGCAAAATTTTTTGATGACAATTAACTCACCCGTGTACTAAGATCAGATTTTGCATGTGGACACAATCTATCAACTTCATAAATTTTGCCATTCGAAGTTTTCACTTTCATCCTATCGCCGCTAATGGCCATTTTGTTTGGCGGCGGTAAGAAAAGTTCCGTTTGTTCAATCGAGGTTCTGACTTGCTGCATCTGCAACTTTTCTTCTTTGTAAATGGATTTCACAATGATCTCGTTCTCACTGTTATTTTCGGAAATGACGGGTCGAATTTCCTTGATTATGTTGTTTGCATTGTCCATGTCCCTCCTAATCTCCAGTACATCTCTTTTTTCTCGTTTTTTTCCCACTCTCTTGTCCACGAAATCATCATCTACACAAACGATTGTTAGCCTAAAGGTTTGAACAGAATCGCGTTTGAATACACGAACCAAAGTCTCGGCGACCGCCATCAATATTATCACGTAAAAGATCTTTGACGATCGGCAACAATTCAATTTTCTAGGAATTAAAAGTTTTAATTAGATGATGAATGCATACAGCAACGCGAAAATAATTGAAATAACCACCTTCCAACTTTCTTTTGACAGTATGCGAAGGTCCCTTACGGTGTAAATTCGGTTTCGAAGCAGAACCGCTATATCCGACTTCATTTGGTCATTGTGCCATGAATATTCCGCACCGATTTTCTTTATCAGAATATCGACCCTCTTCGAGAAAAGTTTCACAAAATGAACAAATGAAGTCAAAATGTTTAATTAATAGTCGGACAATACCACTTACCAGATTGTCAGGTAACGCGTCTCCCTTCAAGTTGATTAACTGTTGTGGCGTGATAGAACCTTAGAAAGTGAGAGGTTTGTCAAAATTCGCGAAAATAATGACTCCAAATTCACGAGGTTTTTCAAGGTTCACGTTTTCTTACCAGGACCCGAGGAGGAAGTGTTATCGGTTACATTCATATTCGCCAAATAAGAGGCGAAGAGTGTGCCGGATCTGGAAAGCTTTTTGCGTAGCATACTTGAAAAGAAAGAAGTGGGAAAAGGGAATTGTACGAAGACCCGGTGGTATAAAAGGGGTGGAACGAGACGACGGGGAAGTGAAAAATTGTGATTTTTAACTCGAACGGGTCTTCGCTTTTTTATAGAGATTATTGATCGACGTGATGCTCCATAATAAATTTAACAAGCGGATCTTTTTGCAAGTCAGCTGTTTCGTGCTACAATACGCAACCGGGTGTTTCAAAAATAGGGCAATTTCTTTCTCGGCACTCCTAATCTCTGGTGAACACTTAACCGTGAAAGGCATTCTCTTACTCTGTCTATCAACAAACTCTTTTCGATCGCGCTTGTTTACCAACGGTTAGCGTCTCTATTGCTCTGGGAGAACTTTACACACTACCTTTTTGTTGGCGTTTCAAAAAATTGAGATCGAATTATTCTCTCACTGAAAACATTTTGTTGGCATTTCGCGCCACTTGTCACGCGTTGCAGAAATTCCTTGTATCAGCTTAGATCTTCACCGTGTTCTGGTTGCCACTTCTTTTGGCACTCTAGTCCACAGGTTCTCTGCAAGCTCATTCTAAAACAAGAGTATAAACAACCATGGGGGCTTGTCTGTCTTGTTTTTTTGGAAGTACGTTTTGCGCGTACTTGGTTTTGCTCTTAAATTTCATCACATGGCTGAGCTATCTTACTTTTACAGACACTAGTGGAAATGGGTTGTACGAACATACGCTGCAGGAGAACGAACGGGAGGCGGTTGCTGATTTATTGACATATCTTGAAAGTAAGATTATATCGTTATATTTGATGATCGTGATTTATGAGGTATTTTCAAGTTCATTTATTGTATTCATTTTTATGAATTGCCTCTATTCTAGATCGTGCTGAGACCAATTTCTTTGAAGGAGATCCGTTGCGAGCGCTTTCGACACTAGCCTTCTCGGATAACGTCGATTTACAACGGTCAGCGGCATTGGCTTTTGCAGAGATTACCGAAAAAGGTTTTCACAGAGTGAATTTCACTCATCTTTTCTAAAAAGATAAAAAAAAAGATAAAAAAATTTTTTTTCAACTTGCTAATTCTTTCCGTATCAATCTAATCCCGAAATCGACGATGATTAAAAGATGTCAGGGAGGTGGACCGAGAAACAATGGAGCCTATCATGTTTCTTCTTCAATCGCACGACGTCGAAGTCCAGAGAGCTGCTTCTGCTGCATTTGGAAATCTCGCCGTTAATCGTGACTATCTCTTTTTAATTTTTCAATCGGCGATCGATTACAAATGCAAACAGCCCACAAACAAGTACAAATATTTATCTTTTCACCTTAGCCGAGAATAAACTTCTTATCGTCCAAATGGGAGGTCTCGAACCATTGATTCGTCAAATGTTATCACCAAATGTTGAAGTCCAGTGCAACGCCGTAGGATGCATCACCAATTTAGCAACGCATGGTAATTCGAGTCTCCTTGAATATTGCTTTTCAAACGTGAATGGATAATCGATTGACTCAAAACTTTTAGACGAAAATAAATCGAGGATTGCAAAGTCTGGTGCGTTGGTTCCATTGACTCGATTGGCCCGTTCAAAAGACATGCGCGTTCAGAGGAATGCAACCGGGGCTTTGTTGAACATGACACATTCGGGTAATACTTTGTGGCCACAGGAATGCCTTAAACAAACTCTTGCTTAAAGTACTCATCGCGGCATTGTTCATTTGTCCGTGACAGATGAAAATAGGCAACAACTTGTTAATGCCGGTGCTATACCGGTATTGGTTAGTCTTCTGAATTCCTCGGACACGGATGTTCAGTATTACTGTACCACGGCCCTTAGTAATATCGCCGTTGATGGTAAGACAAAGCCAATTTCACAACTCTGTGATTCCCATTGTTTTTTTTTTTTTTTTTCTTTATCTTTTTTTTTTTTAGATAATTTACCTAATTTAACCCATTGCAGCCTTAAATCGAAAAAAACTTGCAGCGTCCGAAACAAGATTGGTACAATCGCTAATCGGGCTAATGGACTCGACGTCACTTAAAGTGCAATGTCAAGCGGCCTTAGCACTAAGAAACTTGGCTTCTGACGGTAAACGGGTGATGAACATCGATCTATTGTTATGCTGTGTGACCACTAGATTTTTACATATGCCATCGCGAATGCATTTGTAAACTTAAAAAATTTTTCCGTTCATCCATTAGAGAAATACCAGCTTGAGATAGTACGGTCCCGCGGTTTACCACCCCTCCTCAGGCTTCTTCAATCATCATTCCTACCTCTGATTCTCTCTTCCGTCGCCTGCATTCGTAACATATCGATTCATCCGCTCAACGAATCTCCAATAATTGACGCGGGATTCTTATCGCCGCTGATTCAACTCTTGGCATACGAAGAAAATGAAGAAATTCAGTGCCACGCTATTAGCACTCTGAGAAACTTGGCCGCTAGCTCTGAGAGAAACAAGAGAGCAATCGTGGACGCAGGAGCTGTTGAGAAGGTGCGAGAATTGGTGTTAAATGTTCCATCTAGTGTGCAAAGCGAGATGACCGCTTGTGTTGCGGTTTTGGCATTGAGCGGTGAGTTGAGTCGGTGACCATAACTCATCTTTATTCAAAGCTTCACCTAGCAGGAATTTTCTTGGTTAATTCGCCCTTGAAATATAGATGAATTGAAACCACGATTATTGAAGCTGGGTATATGTCGAGTTTTAATTCCCTTGACAAATTCTTCAAGCATGGAGGTCCAAGGAAATAGCGCCGCTGCATTAGGAAATTTGTCTTCCAAAGGTTCGATCTCCTTACCAGTCGCGAGAAATTTGATTATATACTTTTGTTAACTAATCTCGTTTTGTTTAGTTCAAGATTACTCGCCGTTTGTTAGCGTCTGGGATAATCCTGCTGGTGGTCTGAATGGGTACTTGCAACGATTCCTAAGTAGTTCGGATAAAACATTTCAGCATATTGCTGTCTGGACAATTGTTCAATTTCTGGAGGGTAAAGGTTAGTGGAATTCTCTCCCGTTTAGTGCCGGTGATTTCCATTTTTCAAGGATCAACATGAAGGATCCCATTATGGTATTTGGTAATAGATCTGCAACTATTGGAGAATATTTCATCATCGAAGTCAATCGTTGCTGCCATAACTCAACTGGTGGAACACGGGATCACCACTGAAGCTTGTGACGAAGAAGAATCGGACGAAGAAGAAATTGTGGCCTTAGCTCGCAAGACCTTAACCATATTGGAGAATTGTAAATGATTTTTCTGCGTCGCCTATATGTGCACGGATTGCGTGGAAGAGGACCTAGTCCGTTAAAGAGAAAAGAAAAAAAAATTTTTTTTTCGCTTCCTCTATAAGATTCTACATTACCTTCCGTTTGGTAAATTACTTACTTTTCTCACCAGATTTATGACATTCGGGTATACTTTGACATTATTCAAATGACCATGCAACCATATCAAAGTATCACCGTGCACGTTTTAATCTACATTCTTTATTTTATTATTATTATTATTAGTATTAGTATTTTTTTTTTTTTTTTTACTACGCATTTCATCATCTCTAAGTTGAAAAATAGTTGATTAATGCCGCTGGAGGATTTATTCGCAAGAGATATTCTAAGGACACTTATTTCGCGCCTTGCCATTATTTCTTTCCTCACTAGATTAAATTTATATATATACACCTATACTTTATCTTATATATATATATATATATATATATATATATATAAGTACACGGAAGATGGCATGAGTTAACATAGTACAGTATATCTAATTCGAATCCCACTACCAGCAGTAACAATATGTAACCTTATATATAACTGTACCATAAAGTCCCTACTAATTTACCTTTTCAATGCTAACGATTCTACTTCGGCTGTCACCTTCCCCGTTCATCCCACTAGTGGGGAAAATATTGCGTCGTACGTACATACATACGTCATCGACCACGCGATAAGCGCGCACGTACGTAATGGTGTGGTTTGCACTTAAAATCCGAATGTAAATGTTCTCATTGTTTGCCTTCATCCTTTAAATTTCGACCTTGAAGTTTTGACTTCGTGCTATTTGTTATTCAATTTACACAGGATTACACGCCCTAATTTAATCAGTTAAACAGGACAGTGTCCGCAATATTGAACATGAGTTTTACTGAGGACGTCTACAACAGTGTGGCCTGGGATACCGGAGCAACCGATTCTTTGCAACCCGAAGATCTCTCGGACGAAGAGATCGTAGCAGGGAGCATCAGGGAGGCCTCGACATTCAACAACGTCGACGAGACCATGTTTTCTGTATGTAACAACTAAAATTAAAAGTGACCATAGATCGATTTTTTGTTATTATGTTTTGATCGTTTCTTGTGTTCAATGCAAGGCTAGCTTCTTAGCCTTTCACTTTTGTTTTTGCACTTTAGACGTTGGAGTCACCACCCACGAATTCTATGGTAGACCCCATTAGGTCAACTCACTCGCCACCGCGGTCTAATGCGTCAGTCGCGTATCCCATGAACATTAATGTCACAGAGCCGCTGAAAGAGCTTGATGGAACAAAAGACGCATTTATCTCATACCTAATAACTACCAGAGTACGTATCCCAAAAATGCTTGGAATGATGTTTTTAGCATGACTTTATTGATCCGAACTCGGTCACTCTACCATTCGACCAGACATCCTTATCCACATTTGTCGAACCTACAGTGAGCGTCCGACGACGTTTTCAGGATTTTGTGTGGCTGTATAACTCTCTCATTCGTGACTTTCCCGCGTGTGTGATCCCCCCGTTGCCCGATAAACATCGATTGGGTGAGAGGGTGTTCAGGGATTCCTTTTATCTGAACATACACGAGAAGGCCTAACGTTCGTTTTTCTTTTTAGAATATATTACCGGCGATAGATTTGGTCCAGAATTTGTGGAAAAAAGACGGGCAAGGTATTCATGTTATGTTCGCCTCACTCGTCGATCTTTGGGCGAAGGTTTTCTGATGTCATTGGTTTTGCGACCTTAGTCTCCAAAGATTTTTGGATAGATTGTCCCGTCATCCGACTCTGCAGATGAGCGAATATTTTAGGATATTCTTGGAGTCGAGGGAATGGGTAATCGTCAATCATTTGGTTGTCAACACTGTTATCTATTAACGTAATTTAATGCGACAAAAAAAAAAAAAAAAAAATTTTTTGCCTTAACCAATAGAACGCAGAATCCCTGTACAGACAAAAGAAATCGGGGGAAGGGGTTCTCGAGAATTTGGGGGATGCTCTGCTCAATGCATTCTCCAAGCTCAAAAAACCCGACGAAAGATTTATAGAGATGAAAGAAAGCATTGATAAACTCGAAGAAAATTTACAAGCCGTTGAGAGAATATATCAAAAGATTATTAAAAGGCAGACAGGTTTGATCGCATGTCTTTGAAGACAATTTAATTATTTTCGACCGAATCCCGTTGCATTGTATACTGATGATATGTCTAAATGAAATTCCACCACAGACCTGGATTCCGATTATAGGGAATTCGGCACCAGCGTGTCTGGGCTGGGTCAGCTGGAAACGGGAATCACCACACCTCTGGAAAAATTTGGCGTCACGACCTCCAAGTTTGCTGATTCATGGAAACAGATGGTTTGCCACTCTTTCATCAAAAAAAAAAAAGCATGCGAACATTTCACGTTTGAAAACCCACACGTGTAACTTGATTTCCTCGTTCAGACGGATCGTGAAGAACAAGGCTATTTAAACCAAATTCGAGATCATCTTTCCTATTGTCACAGTGTTAAGGTGAGTTCGTTTGGTGTGATATTAATCGTTGATAGTTCGGTGATCCTCAAATCATTCCCTCCATCAACAGAACGTCCTGAAGTTGCGAGATCAAAAGCAAGTGGATTTCGAGGAACTTTCGGAATACCTACAGAATGCCATGACCGAACGAGAAAATCTCCTCAACACCGGAAAATCGTCCACCGGTATATCCTCGTTTTTACGCGAAAAGGTAGATAATATAAAGGGTGTGGATCAAGAACAAGCAAAGAGAGAACGATTGCAGAAATTGGATGCCAAAATTGCCGAGGTATTATTCACTTTAAAGTAAAATTTGGTTTTACTTCACTTGACATAGAATTTTTCTTTATTCGCTTGTCTCAATCGCGATAACAGCTTAAGAAGGAAGTTGAAAGCAGCAATGATGTTGCGAACCAATTCTCGTCTGAAGTTTCCAAAGAATACGAAATATTCCAAAATGCCAAAACGATCGAGTTGAAGGATTACCTACTTTCTTACACCGAAAGTCACATCGACTTTTATCGCCAGGTAACTTTTTGCACGCGTATATGTGCGCACACAATATTTTCGAATCATTCCCGAGAACACTTTTTTCAATAAACAATAAATCGATGTTTTGTAGGGTATCAAACTATGGGAAGAAATTATTCCCGTCCTAGAAGACATCAAAATTCAAGAATGAAAATTTTGTTTATGATAGTCGAATATTTATTTTTACGGAATGTTGAAGGAATGTGGTATTGTATATGCCGAATGTGGAATGAATAGTGGTGGTTACGATTGAGAAGAAACGAAAATGGAAGAGTTGATAAAAGCGACTGTGCGGAAGATGTAAATTATGTTACTTCATATTTACGCACACTTTTCCTTTTAGGTAATAAATGATTCTGTATATTACCAAGATTCACATCACTTATCTCATCGCAGAATCAAATCACGTAGCTATTTTGATAGAATTCTCTATAAACACTTTAGTCAATCTACAGAACTCTTCTGATGTTAACCTCTCTGGTCGCATTGATAAATTGATGCCTAATTTTTCTATCTCATTGACCAACAACTTTTGCTCCGTTGTCGAGACTTTTGACTTCAATAACCTGAATTTGTTTGAATTTGATTGAAAAGCGTGAGAGATGATTGCATTCAAAACGCATGATAGAAATGAAGTTCAATTGTCTCCCATGATCTTACATTAAAGAAGAGTGAATGGTTTTCCGCCTATTTCCGTAGAAATACCTTACGACTTCTTCGTATTTATTCACTGGCACTATCTTACGGTATTAGTCAAAGCTATGTCCAGCGTCGTCTGAAACGTGAAAGCCTCTTACCGTTCAACACAGGATTTGAAAGAGATTTGAGTTGGATTAAGACGGCATCGACCTATGAAACAAAACTAAATAAAAGGGTTCGTCCAGTCATAGATAAAACCATACTTTATTGCCTAATCACGAACACATACCTTTGGTTTAGGAACAAATACTTCGGAAGGTAGTTGGTAGACCGTTCTCGCTTCGCATAGACTTTGCACCAACACCGAGATTCGACCTCGTCTTGAATCATTCACACCTGCTACTATTCTCTTGAGGATTTTAAAGGAAACGTGGAATTAAAATATATATATATATATATATATTTCATTCACAAGATGAATGAATCAGAAGCACCTACGTTGCCAACTTCCTTCTGAAACATTAAAGTCATCGAAACATTTGGAAATCTAAATATTCCCTCCCGACCGTATAGCATTTTCATCCATTGTACCAATAACGGACTTGCCACGTTAAATGGCAAGTTACCGATCAAGTGCACTCGACTTTTTGAACAGATGCTGTCAGTCTCGCTCATATTCGCCGCTTGAAGAATTGAAGAATGATCGATTTTAAGCATATCACCATGGAAAACTTTTAACACTCCTTCAGACACTTCGGACAGTTGCTATTTTGAGTTAAACGTTAAGGAGAAATAAGATTGGACTATTAGGAGTGTAAGTTGGCCAAGATGAATCGAGCAAGAAGCAAGAAAGATTACCGTTAATATGGGTAGAAACCTTTGGTCCTTTTCCACTGCCACCAATTTCGGTATGCTCGTTTCCAGTATCGACCTTGTTAACAACCCTGGCCCTTCAATTGAAGAAAGAATATGATTCCGTACGAATTTAATAAGGATTCGCCAAGAATCAGGGCCACTCCATATTTTACCTGGTCCGACTTCCACCACAAGCGCATCGTCGGAACAAATTTGCGAAACCTTCACAATCTTATCTACAAAAAAAATTTTTTTTTTCGCGCAAAGAAAACCATTATTCCATAATCTTGGGTTCACTCCAGACGCTTTCCTCGATTCAAAAATAGACTCATCCCTCGAACCTAGAAAACCCTCACCCGTAATATTCTTGTCCAAAATAAAATTCTGACTTAATTGTGACTTGGCCGATAAATTATAAATTTTGATCAGATCTCTTATTGACAATAATCTCGGTAAATTCCTCAATGTCATTATTTCCCAGCTGTGTGTCCAAGAAAGGAATGCCAACAATGCGATGCTAACAAAATCAAGAGGGTTGTGTGAATCATTTTCATCCAATTAGCTTAAAATCGCTCAGAATGTTCGATATCTATATCGACATTGAAAAATGTGTTTGATAAAATGCATTCTCTCGTGTTTGTGAGCAAATACAAATATTTTTAATATGCTATGCATGTGTTTACGTACGCACAGAAAACCTTTCGATATTCACCATCTTGGGAAAGAACCGTGACATATACTTTTGAGAGGTATCGAGATATACCCCATATACACTGTGCACGCTATTATATTATATCGTTATACTTGTAAGTTTTCGATGAAACTTTTAATAATCTTATTTGTTAATATAAAATTATAGTGCGAAATATTGCATTTGTTCCAAGACGCCTTATTCTTGTTTGAGCAAATATTCGTAAAGCTTTTTATCAATTGATTTCATTTCTTTCTTCTATGTCAAAATAGTTGCTCAAAACTTCTTAAAGTTACCAACTTATTAGATCAATAGTGCTTACTACTTAGGGATTTTATTGTTAAATAAAACTGTCGAGTTTTATCGATAGCAGAAAAGTGATTTGTAATGCAAATTTCTTAAAACAATAAATCTATTTAAAGATAATCCATTTTAATAGTTTTCCTTGTGTTAAGTCAAGGATCCAAAGTATGTGAAGTACCTTTGATGCTAATTGAGAAATTTCATCAAGTTTGATTTCAAAAAAAAATTAACCTATCGAAAAAAATAATAAATTATCTTTTTTTTATTTTGTAATATCCGCAGTCAGACTAGATTGTAGTTTATTAATCAATTGAAAACATAAGTACATTTTTACTCAAGCAGCATGATACATATAGTATTACAGCTAGACATTTTTAATCAAATCTAACAAACTTGTCATTGACAATAATAGTTTCTAAGTTTGATCTTGAGAATAATATTTTACTTCATAATGGATTTTGGATAAATATTTTTCAATCTATCACTTTATTGTCAGCAAATTATCATTGTTGTATATCTTACCAAGTCACCAAAATATAGGAAATTACAATGGGAATGAGTTGAAAAAAAAGGGTGAAAGTATAATCATATTAAAAAATATATATATTATTAAAATAAAAAAATAGTTTCTTTCAAAGATTTATTTTTCAAGATTTCTTTTCAATAATAAATGTTTTATTAGAATATATATATTTTTTCTAATCATCTAAAGAATTTATTTATTTTTTATTTTGATTTTCTTCTTATATATTGCTTGAGAAGACTTATTGCTTAATAGGAAATTTTATTTTCAAAAATATATTTAATTTCAATTTTTTGAAACAATAATTTTATTTTTATTTATAATAGATATTATAATCTATCTTAATTAAAACTATTATATTTTGAGGAACTATATATAATACAATAAGAATAACTAATGTCTCTATTCTA